ATGAAAAAGTAGCAAGAATAATACACTTCCTAATCTTGAATGAATATCTTATTGATTAATAGGGGGGAGGTAGCTCATCGATTCTTCCGGTTCGCCTCCTAGCATCGTGCTATAAGGTACCAGGCGATAACCAGGGTAGTTGATCGATAGCTCGATGACGTCATTTCGTTGGCGTCTGCAATGGAAAATTCTCATAGCAGGCGTTGACGATGGGACGTTGTCGAGTTGTTGAATAGCAACTATCGTGGTAACTCACCGATTACCTGTCGATCTGCCAAATTTGGAAAGACGTCTGCATTGAATTGTCTCATATAATAATATTCCGCCCACTATATCACAAGAAATTGCGAGTAGCTGAGTGGAAAGGAGATAAGTTAAGCATTGGGTACAGGACCAAGTCTCCCCTGGGTGGTGCAAGAAGATGAGCGCAATAGAATCATCAAGTTGCCATAAGGCACGGAATGAGACTATTGCATGGTTGGGTAGTCAAAGTCATCCATACGTTAGTCATTTCAGGTGGATTAGAACAGGTTTAGGTTTAGGGTGGGCGTTGGCCAGATTTGGATTTTCAGATATAATCCTAAATAGGACCTAGATTATTTAATACACTAGTAACCTCAACTTCTGTCACAATGTTTCATTGTGACTAATCAACACTCAATGGGTAAAATATCAAATTTGCGGTAAATTTGAAAAAAAGGTAACTTGGAGTGTAGAGCGCACTGCCCACTGAACGATTCTGAAGCCTGACCAATATATATAGATACATTCATACCATTGGCATTTTGTATTTGAGATAAGACAGAGACAGGATGCGGAGGGCCCGCTTAGGGGGAGCGTAACCCATGTTAAGGCTTCCATTTATTAAATAGTTCAGATAGGCTGGAAATGATAGGTTCATGTTGAGAAAATGTACCATATGGTGCCCGTTCACTGATCAAAATTAAATTAGATTCAAATCGTCAGGCCCTGCCCTGTAATAAGGGGATTGACGATGATTTGTCAAGTTTCATTTTGCATTTGCATATAATTGTAAGTTTCGGTTTGCTTTTGTAATTGTAAGATAGATAGTTTGGCTCAATTGAAACATTGAGTTGTATAAACTTGACGAATCATACCTCTAAAATAGTAGTAGTTACAGTGCCGCATTATCTAACAACCACTGCCTGCAACTAATGTTGGAGGGGTCAGCAGGGCTGATTACGGATCAAAACTAACATAACTCTAACACTGGAATGATCCCCAAACTAACGCTCATTCATTGCACTTTGAGTCATAAAGTAGTTTTATTTATTTTCTTACTAATCTATCTACACACTTAGTTTTTTCTACCGAGCTCGGCTGTGTGGGTCTCGGCGGGGAGGGGGTTTCGCTGAGATCTCGGCGGGAGTGACATTTGATTGCCGAGTCTCGGATAATGCCTTTTCTAATAATCTGCCTACGTTTCTTTTATTTGTTATCTACTTCATCCCTTTTTTATTTGTCTGCTCTTCTTTCCTCTTCTCTTCTTTTGTTTTGTTTGTTTACATATAACTAATACTAATACCTTCTTGTTTTCTCTCTAATTTGTCTACTATGTCCCACCATCACGATGAGAGATGAGCTACCGTACATGGTACACGCTCATATACACTCCCAAAATAGTATACCGCAAGTAAGTATATCACAGAGGCAACTAAAGATCCAGAAACGAAAACCGATAACGCTGAAGCTGATCTGTGGTGATTTATATGACTAAATAGTATTATTTATTTATACTAACCTAAACACAACGTGGGGTGACCCAAATCCAAACGATCACTAACCAAAATAATAGACTTATCTTTTTTCAGCAGCACTACACCAGCCAGCAAAGTTCAACAATCCATCGTTGCTTATGCCTTTGTTGTCGTTTGGAACCAGTTTTGCGAGGTAGGCGACGATTGTGCGTATTTCTCGCGTAACTTTTGAAAAGAGCCTATTTATAGCCTGAACAATACGTAAAGAGCAAATTGAAACATTGAACGTCGCGTGAAAGTGGAACTTAATGAAGGCCTAAGTACTTTTTCGTAGTTTTTAGTTTTCGGATTTGAAAGATCGTCGGTTACAGTGTCCTGCTTACTGAGCAGAAAAACGCGGTCCCAGGTCCTTACATATCAAAGAGATTTATGGTAAAATCGCTTGTGTATCGTGTATTTTGCGAAACTCGTTGTTGTCGTTGGTTCCGGGTTTGAATGAATACAAAAATTTGAGCAACGGTATTATGTGATATGAGGGGCTCGGTGGCCTTAGAGCAACCGTTTTTGCTTACTGAGCAGAACATCATGAGTCTAATCTCAGGCCCATCCACATTCAAGATTCGTCAATCGTTTTATTTGTTGATACAACTACATGGTAATAACAGCAACTCGGTGATTAAAAAGGTGCTCGTCTGCCTAGTGGCAAACGTTTTTGCTTACTGAGCAGAAGACCGTGGGTTTAGTCCCAAGCTCCTTCGCGTTATATGATCGTTAGGACATCAATTCAGCTTATCGTTTACCAAAACGAACCCTGCTGCAAACCCAACCCTCTTATCCAACATCCCAGTGATTCCTCGTGGAAGTGCAGAGGTGTTCTCGGCTTCCATCAAAGCGAGTGTCATGTCAACACAATCCTTTCCATTCCTTTCTTGACCTGTGTTCGGGCGCGGCCGGCGCTGGTATTGCCTAATTTAAGATCACCAGTTTTTACACATTGAGGATGATTGCTAGTCCCAAGCATCGTCTATTGGTTCTCTGTGTAATTACAGCTGATCTGGCAATAACAGAGTAGCAACCGTGGGCGGTCAATCAAGCTCAAGCTCAAGCTCAATTATTGATTAATAATTTATTTGATAGGGCTCAATCAAATTAACTTTACAGAGCCGAGGATCAGGGTTGCTTCCACTGACTTGCTATAAAAAAATATTGTTGGGAATTATGCAATCATTAGAAGTTATAATTCTATGTTGCACTTATAAGTAACAAGAAGAGGGTGTAAAGTATGTGTTTGACTCATAAAACCTGTCAATTTTGCTTTGAGAGCGTCACAATCAGCGATCTTATGATTCGTGAGCGTTCACTCAGAGTGAGCGCTCACGAGTCGTAAAATCGCTGATTGTGGCGCACTGAAAGCAATATTGACAGATTTTATGTGTCAAACATATACTTCATGACCTCTTCTTGTAACTTACAAGTTCTAATTAGCATTAAACTATTTCATGATTACATAATTCCGAAAAACATTTTTTTATAGCAAGTGGGTGGAAGTAACCCTGCCGAGGATTCTTGTTCACTATACAAAACTATAAAACTAAAAAAAACTATAGTCAAAAGGTGCTACACTATAAACACTTTATCTTCCCCTATCCAATAAGCCTCCTCCATAAGAACGGGATCCGTTTGAAGTGATTTCATGGTATGGCAGATTCGCCAATGGGGGGCATAGTGCGTCCATTGAAGCAATGGACGCAAAACGTGGTCATCAGCCACACACTCATCACGAAACGGTTGCTTTCCAAAGTCGACGACGCATCGACCAAAAGAACTGCTGATGAAGAACAATGAGGACGACCACACAATGGTTGCTGCCGAGTAAACAGACGATCGCGCGATGCACATCGAGAGTGGCCTTCTTCTGTCGACAGCCAAGTGAACACTGATAGCCGACATTTGAAATTTTGAAAAGATCTTCAGAATAATACTTCCTTTTGGTTTGTTTTTTTCCGTCGATCTTGTTTTCCGTGCTGAGCACCAATGCTACCGACGTGCCAGGAAGGCAGCTCCCACACCTGGACCCTACCTATTGACCCATCAACTCATGAACCGGGGACCAACGGCTTTACTTCCCATCCGAAGGAAGGCGTGATCAGAGATGTTATGCCTCAGAACATCCCGGCGGCGCCGACTGGGATTGAACCCAGGCCTTCTGGGTGAGAGGTAATCACGCTTACCACTACACCACCGGCGCCGTTGGAATAATACTTCAGCAGCCATTTAAATTTTCAAGAACTCTAAAAACATTCAGAGGACGCAAGTTAAATCTTATTGAAAATCCGTGAATATCAACAATGTTCTCCAACATTTTATGAAGTTTCCTAAACTTCTATGACGGATCCTGTACATTCACATTGTTTCTTGAACTTAAACTCAGTTCCATGAACTCAACCAAAGCTCCCTGAGCTTCTTTCCTATCCATTGAACTTATTCGAAGCTTCCTGAGCCTTTATGAAGTTTCCTGCATTTGTGAGAAGTTCTGTGAAATCCTGGAAAGCTGTGTCCATTTTTATGACCATTTTTGAACCTGTATATATTTCCTTTAACTCATACATTGCTCCCTGAGCTTCTTCCAAGGACCAAGAAAAAAAAAAATCTGAATTTTAACTGTCGCGTAAACTCTCCTCTCGTTTAATTTTGAGCTATAGTCGACATAAACAACGAAATTGCTTACAATGCAACTTGTTTCAAAATCAACGAAAAATATAGTGATATTAAAAATTATGTACCCATTCTGCATGGTGGAATAGACACAAAATTGAGTTTATTTTCAAATCGCATTTGCAGCTTCTGAAAGATCATACTAAAAGATGCTTTTTCAAGAAGTTCTAAGAGATCATATTCATAATAATTTGCGAACTACCCTGTTTTAATTATTCTTTGTTGTCCAAGTACCAGAATGACCATTACTTATATATCCATACTGATAAGTACCTGCACCTGTTTTGCCGTCCAAAATCCCCGACAATCCCACATTGCTTCTGGAAACATTATTTCCACCATCCCGCTCTACCGTCGATCGCCTCTTCTCAATCGTGTCGCGGTCTCTCATGCTCTCCGTCAGAGTCCATTTTCTCCCGCTCCAAACTTAGCACTCTCGCTCTCTTCCAAAAACAAAAAAAAAATTAACTCGCTCGCCTGCTCCCGTGAAGAACTTCACAAGCACGGAACGCCCGGTAGCTGGTTCGATAGCCTCTGGCTTCTGTGTTCGTCGGAGCTGAGTTCAGTTTTTCGCTAGATTTTGCCAAATGTAGGCCACATCCGCTAAACCACCTCTACAGAACAACCACCACGTCTAGAAACATATACTCACCCCCTTTTGCGCGTTGCAATTGTAGTTAGCCCATAGTGTGTTGTCTCTTTTTCAATGACAACAGCAACAATTTTGGAGTTCAACATCATCACCACCAGCACCACCACCAACAGCAACAGCGCCACTAGGGGTAGTTTTTGATGTCCCCCCAAGCGTCGTCTTCGTCGTGAGCGCGAGCGTGCTGTGTGTAGTAGCCCTCGAGAACCGATCGACCGCGGTCACGATCCCGTTTTACTTCTTCCTACATAGTTCCCCGTCGGGTGTCTGTTTCCCTCATAATTCGAACCTTGTGCAGTGTGTGTAAGTGATTTTGCTTTCGTTTGATTGAATAAGAGTGGAAATCTTGTTGAAAATTTTTTGTCGCCTCCGTTGGCGGGGTCAAGGGTGGTGGCATGCGATTTTAACATACGACAAGACAACGTCATTAATTAAATGCGTTCCCAGTTTGCAGTGCGTACCCCGGGATAGTGCCAGAGTGTCGATAAGGCTAAGCCACCCATCCGCTGCCCCCAGCCACAGAGTCCATGGTGAAAAGAAAAGCAAAATTTTGGTGTGAGTCGGCGGCGGCGGCGGTGGCACCACTCTGTCCGGAACCCCCGGAGATGGTGTGGGAAATGTGGGGGTCCCTGGGATTGATTTGGTGCCCGACCGACGACGCAAGTACGACGCCGTCGCTTTGAAACTCGTGTAGTGTGCTGTTGTTATTGATGGTTGAGCTGCAACCGAGTGAAGCTCACAAACGATAACAACAACGAGTGGAAAACAGTGAAAAAAAAAAGAGTGCAAAAGTGATTTAACGTGCTGATGAGCGATGATTAGTGAAGATGAACTGTGGCTACTGGATGTTGACTGGGCCGCGTGGAAGTGCTGCAAAAGGAAATTAGCACCACTGATTAGCGACCTAAACCGGTGGAGATCGATAACTAATGGATGTTGGTCGCCGATGGCGATGGAGGACTGCATGCTGTTGACTAGCAACAAGCATGGTGTGTTCGGTTGTTTGTCTTACTGGTGTGTCTCGTGATGGAGCTCGATCGACACGGCGTCGCAAACGGAAAACCGGTGAAGGCTGGTCAAATTCGGATAACTGCGATGCTATTGTCGGGCGCGTCCCTCTGTGAAGCGTGGAAAATATATTTTGAAGGGTGCTAAATGTGCTACACCTTTTTTAAGAGATGTAAATGTAAGAGCCCAACGACATCATGTATCAATGTAGAGACGTAGTTGTTGTTCAAACTTATGATTCATTCGTGTTCATGGAATGTAATGCTATTTTTTGGAAGAAACACGAATGTTAGAAATAGGTATCGATTATTTATTTGATCTGTATTATAAAATCTAAGATCTTTGATATTAAATACCAGCGTTCACTGAACAGAATATGTTCTAAAGAGGATGTTTAAACAAGTAAAATGGATTACAGTGGTTTAAAGGGTGGAACGAGCTAAAAGTAGTAAACTAAAATTTAGTTCATTTCTGTTTCGTGCTTTTGAAAAAAAATCAAACGTTAATTTTCAAAGGTGTGTATCTACGAAAAGTATTGTCAGTTTTGATTTAAGATAGCAACCGATCAAAAAAAAAACCAGTAGTTTCAAATTCATCAAGCGCATTCGTTAAATTTAAATCTTTCTTTGCGAACGCTGATTTTAAGCAGTCAAGAATGTTATGCTGCAACCGAAAGAGAATTAGTTCAGGACAACTTAAGCAATACAAATCAAACTAAATTTTCAAGAATACCATTTGGTGGGCAGGTGATTTGTACTGGTGAGCTGAAGGCAATTATGTTTGTGACAGCTGGCATCATCATCCAGAATATTTACGTGAGCGAGTGTTTGTACAAATGTGTCTTGTATGAGTTGGTTGGAAATGCTATCTAACAAGAAGCTTTAGTGTGATAATGTATTAGCTAGAGAATGGTCTTAGAAGTGGGTAGGTAGAAAGTTCCGTTAGAGTACGGCAGTAGGGAAATTGAATAGAAGTTGAAAATGAGCGAAGGGCCATCAATGCGATAGTACAAGTCAAACACACATTTCTTTGATGCCTAGCTCGTACGATGTACGAGGAGATTTAAATCTACAGGCCAAAAAGTGCACTTTGAATGTAACAATCAAGGTGGGAGTAGCCCCTCAACAATGCTGATGATGGTACAGCACGCAACAACCACCCTACTGCTTTCTCTCTGAGATGACTCCGTTGGTCATGACGAGAGGAGCAACACAATAGTTGGGTAAAGAAGAATTGCTTTATAACATTTTATACACCATCGACTGGAAATGCTTTCGGCAACGTGGGGCCCTAGATAGTGATGAAACATCGCTAGAAATATTTCACAGCCTGTAGATTTGAAGACATACCGTAAAACAGGGTAACATTGATAGTTTTTAAAGTATATTCTTAATAATGTTTACAGCAATGACTGTTTTTCAAATTTTATATTTTTAAAACAAGTACTAAGGATCAAAGAGTTAATTCTTTAGTAATATGTTGAACGAAAATTAAAGCATTTGCCAAGGGGTAAGGCACTCAGCACATTGTGCCGGAATTATATTCTACACAGCTTGGGCACATCCATCGACACATTTTCGACATACCTTCGGCACAATCTCGTAGGCATTAGATTGTTGTAAATAAAATGGGAGCACTGCTGGACAACTGTCATTGAAGTTGTTCAGAGCATTACGTACTGTTTGACTGTATGTTCAGAAACATCTTCTAAATAACCACTTCATTCGAGCAGTTAAAATGACGTTTAGTACCACTTGAACTTTGACATTATTTTGAGACTTTTTCTTCTAGAACCACGAGAAAAGTAGCTAATATTTGTGCGTTTCATAAAAAAATGGAAATTAGTTGGTCCAGTTTTGTGTAATCACTGGTAGAAAGTCACGCCAAAACTGCTTGACAAAGTGGTCAATTGAATATACCAGAGGAACTCAGACCAGCAGTTCACTTATAGATCTAAAGACGAAAAACACGAAAATGGTTTTTTAATATTTTTGTAAAATATGCAACGCATACTATATAAAAACGATATACCATATCTACGGAAATACCCTAAGCTACAATATGGAACCAATGTTTCTTATTTGGGAAAAGCACAGCGAGTAAATTTATTCTTTATATTATACTATCAAAGTTACCCGCATTATCAAAGATACCCCGTTTTACGGTACTTCCAATCTCCTCGTACATTTTACGGGTTAGGCAAAGAAGTATGCGTTTGACTTGTACTGTCGCATTAATGGCCCTTCGCTCATTTTCAACTTCTATTTAATTTTCATACTGCCGTACTTTAACGGAACTATCTACCATCCCCGATACCGACCCTCTTCTAATACCATTCCCCAGCTAATAAATTATCACACTTAAGCTTCATGTTGGACGTAAAGTCCGTGAATTCGTATTTGACAAAGCATAGAGTGAACACAACATGATCAGGGCTTCATGTGAGAGTAAGCTGTCTGCTATTAACATTATTTCTCTGCACTTAATTTTGTGTGACAACTTTTTGCCCGTTCCACCCTTTACTCTCCGCAAGTCGACATTGAAGGGACCATCGACATATAGAAGGTGGCTGAGGTCCTGCACTTTTGGCGATTATGAGTAAGCTAAACTTAAACTTGAGTCGTTCTCATTGGCCGTGTATATTGCTAGAATTTCCCCAGAGATCCTTTCAATAGTTTCTAAAATATAATCCGGTGATTTTCTGTGGTGTAACCTTGAAAATTTATCCACAAGTTTGTGGCATTTCTATGCAGAATACTCAAGAAATTCCTGGATTATTTCTGGTAATTACTTTACATTACTTACGTAGGATTTATTCTCAGAAATTTACACTCGAAATCCCTCGGGATTTTCCTTGAAATGTATTTGCAAACATTCACAAATTTCAATTCCCTTGAAATTTATCTCGGAATTGGATCCCTCCTCAGAATTTTTATTGGTTTCTTCATGATGAATTTCACACCTTTTGCAATCCTTAGAGATTTTTATAATCTAAAAAAAAACATTAATTTTGCCTTTTTTTAAAAACCAACACATTTCGATCGCCTTTTTGAAATCAATTACAAATCGATCAGACTCGACTTTCTTCTTTGATTTGCATAAAATTTTGAGTAATTGTTTGCAGAGCCTTACTCAGGATTTTTTCATATGTTTCTTTTGAAGAGCTCTCAGTTTTGCACCCGCTGGCTCTTTCACTTTTACGATGCCCTCGTCACATTCCATACGGGTTGCGTAGAAGTGGAAGAGATATCGCAACACATTATTTTGTTTTGACGTAGAGCTACGTCTTTGACGACTATACTGGGGTGCAAACTAAGAAAATGTGTAACGAAATAGTGTTAGGTGTTAAACGCTTATAACTTGGTCAGTTATTGATTGATTAAAATTCTTTTTACACCTTTTGATTTACAACTGCTGTACAATTTGTTGGGTATAAATATTATACACCCAACCGGTGGATGTAAGATTCGCTTACAATTATGTGGGATTCATCATCAGAGGATGTAAGTGGAGACCGCATGAACCGAGGATGCGATATACCTAGCTGCGGTCCAATGCAAGAGAATTGGAGACCGAAAAATGTAGAGTGTATTAGTGAGGTAAATTAATTATGTCGAAAAAAAATAGGAAAAAGGTTGCCGACTGGACTCGAACAACGAACGTTGCGATTATCAGACCTGTGCTTTCTCCACTGCTCTCTCCATGCTTCTGAATAAGGATAGCCTAAAAGCAAACAAGAAGCGTTCATTTCCTCTCACACTCGACTTCGTATGCTTTTTCTGCTGGAGAGATTCGAGGCAAGGGTGTGCGTTGTTATACCATGTCATACATAAAAATCAAGGCAAACACGAAATAAAAAAGGCAAAAAACCATTACATCGCCTGCAAGGTTAACTTCTAACATTCGCTGCGATGTTCATATACAGAGGATGATAGGAAATGGAACTAACATTCATTGTAATAGATATTTGGTTTGCGTGTAGTAATTATTAGTAAACTATTGAAAATTAATCAAACTTTTAGGACGCAATCAACCAATAACGTGCTCACTTGCTATGACTATCGAGAGCACAGGGAGAGACGACCGGTTGCGAGGTTATGAAAGAGCTTACCTCTGTACGTACGTACGTACGATTTCGTTTGAAAGTGAGTTTAGCCTTCTAAGGAAAGTTTGTTTCAGAGGTCTGCCAGAAAATCCCAGGAGGTTTCTACAGAAATCCTCCGGAAATTTCTGTTAAGTTTCCACCAGAAGTTTCATCTGACCTCCACCCGGAAGATTCTTTGGATATCTCCTTG